ACTTGTTTTTACTGGCAGCCCGAGGGGCTTGAGTGAGTTTTGGCTGAGTGAGGCCGAGGGCCTGTGTTGTGAGGATGTTATGGGATCGGGCTGCATGCCGCAGCATGTGGTACTGATTTGTGATATATGAGAGGTCGAGGGCCTGGTTTATTATGCCACGAGGTGGCTTGTGATTGACATGAGGCCGAGAGCCTGTTGGATTATGCCACGAGATGGCTTGATATTGCGGTTGGGCCGTAAGGGGCCCCTCTAGGAGTCTGTACACCCCCAGTGAGTGCTGGTACCCAGTGTGATGATCCTGTCTATTATGTGAGGCCGAGGGCAGGATTGATTATGCCACGAGATGGCTTGATATTGCGCTTGGGCCGTAAGGGGCCCCTCCCGGAGTCTGTACACCCCCAGTGAGCGCGGGTACCCAGTGTGTGTGATGTGTTGTAGCCCGAGGGGCTGTTGTTGTTTCATATTGAAGCCCGAGGGGCTGTTCTTGATCTATGTTGCCCGAGGGGCTGGTTCTATTGATATTATGCCCGAGGTGCGGTTTATGGTATATGTTTTGGCCGAGGGGCTGTTTACGTTTCTATCATTTTTACTCACTGATTTTATCACCCGTTTTGAAATTATTGAAAGTTGTTTTAAAAGGTTTTACTGAAACCAAGCTTGATTTACGAAGTAAATAATTTCTGTACTGTTTTGGAAATGTACTGTATTTGCTGTAGCGCTATGACGTGGCTTACGTGTTATCTTACTGCTCAGCTTTTATTTACTTTTATTACTTACTGAGTTGGCGTACTCACATTACTCCTTGCACCTTGTGTGCAGATTCAGGTATTATTTTGAACCCGGTAGCGAGTGTTGGCTGCTCAGTGACAGAGTCATCAGAGTTAGCGAGGTAGCTGCCCGGTGTTCGCAGCACTGCTTTTCTCCCTCTTGTCTTCCTTAGACTGTATTTAGTACATTTTTAGACTCTTAGCTGTATTCAGACCTTAGTAGATGCTCGTGACTTGTGACACCCCGATGTCGGGCTGGGTTTTGTTTTCCGCAGTTGTTATATTTCGCTTTATTTTTGGGATTGATCATTATTAATGACTTGATTATGAATCATTGTATCTGTTAATTACACTTGGGGTTTGTGTCGGCTGGCCTTGTCTTCACGAGAGGCGTCATCACGATCGGGTCAGGGTTTAGGGTCATGACAACCTAAAACAAGTACAACTCTTTAGATGGATCCTCATAAGTTAGAAAAATTTGAATTCGAGGTCCAGAGCTATCTACTTTTCATTATTACTACACTAAATGATCAAAAATCCCAAATATGATGGTTCAACACAAGTCAACCATTTTCTTTTAAACAAATGAATTTTACTTTGAGTGAGCAGGAGCATACTGTCATAGGAGCAACAAAAGCCACAAGATGATGATGTTGAATCAAACATCAAATCTACCAATCATGACCCAAGACGTCATTAGGAATTAACACCAAGTCTATCACTCAAGATCATAATCGTGATAAGAATCAACAAACAAGTCCATTAACTAAGACTGAAAATATTATTTGGCCTGCCACGACCTCGCCTTAATAAGACATACGACTTAATCTCTCCCTTTATTAACATCTTTACATAATCATTTGCAGATGACATTTTGCTAAAATAATAGAGGAGTTAGCAATTAAGTCTACTGACCAAGAAGCACCATTCGCCCTCCTGTGGCCTAATCATCATAAGCCAAATGGCTTTATATCTCACTTTATCCTTCACTTTAACATTTATATTTATCCTAACTTTATGACTCAGTTAATAACTTTAGCCTAAATTTTGTTGTAACAAATATCAAGTCTATCATTCAAGATCGGAGGCGTTATTCAGCTCGACACTTCCTTACATCACAAGCCGGACGATTTTTCTCTTACTTTACTCTCTACTATACCCGTTATATTATCATTCACTTTATCTATTGTATGCGTCATATAGTCCATCCAAGCCTCAACTTCATAAGCTGAACAACAAATTTCCTTCCTTACTCTATACTTTATCATTTACTTTATATCAACTTTATGACTATAATGATTTTACTGTGAACTTTACATGAAAATTTATTCAAGACTTCACAAGCATCCACATGACATAATAAGACAAAAAAACTCATTCATACTTAATCATTGACTTTACCCCCTACTTTATTGTGCCCTTTTAACTTTGCGAATTTATCCTGAACTTTACAAGAATAATCATCAAGTCTCCAGAGACAAATGAAGGCATCATTCAACATCAAATCTTCGAAGACAACCGGAGATATCACTTGGACAACCTCATCTTCATAAGCCAAATGGCTTCATTCATATCATTGACTTTACCTTACTTTATCATAACTTTACGACTTTATGACATTATCCTGAATATTACAGGAAATTGTACCCATGACTTTACAAACATCATTCGTCATTAAGTCTCCGAAGACAACCGGAGGCTTCATCAATATCAAGTCCAACGACCACAATCGGAGGAATTATTTAGGCTCGTCCGCCTTCAATAGGACATTTAGGCTCGTCCGCCTTCAATAGGACATTTAGGCTCGTCCGCGTTCAATAGGACAATTAGGCTTATCCGCCTTCAAAAGGACATTTAGGCTCGTCCGCCTTTAATAGGACATTTAAGCTTATCCACCTTCAATAGGATACTTAGGCTTGTCCGCCTTCAATAGGACACTTAGGCTTGTCCGCCTTCAATATGGCATTTAGGCAAATCCGCCTTCAATAGGATATTTAGGCTCGTCCGCCTTCAATAGGACATATTTAGGTTTTTTCACCCTCAAATAGCACATAACAGGTTCGTCCACCATCAAATAGGACATATCAGGTTTATCCACCTTCAAATAGGATATATTGGGCTAGTCCACCCTCGAATAGGACATATTAGGTCGTCTACCCTCTAATGGGACATATCGGGCAACTTTACCCAAGACTTTACAAGCATAATTCATCATTATGTCCCCGAAGACAACCGTAGACGTCATTCTTCATCAAGACTCCTAAGACAAACGGACTTATAATTCGTTATCAAGCCCCGAAGACAACCAGAGACATCGTCTAGCTACACAACCTCATTTTTACGGGCCACACGGAAACTTTATCCAAGACTTTACAAGCATCATTCGTTATCAAGTCCCCGAAGACAACTGGAGACATCATTTGGCCACACGGCTCCATCATCATAAGCCACATGGCATCTTTCCTACTTTAACATTGACTTTACCCTTTACTTTATCATGACTTTATGACTTTACGATTTTACAAATGACTTTACCTGAACTTTACATGCAACTTTATTTAAGGATTTACAAGCATCAACATCAAGCAACCTTATCTAAAACTTTACAAGCAACTTCGTACAAGACTTTACAGACATCATATCAAGGCCATCGTCCAACAATCAGAGGCGTCATCACGACTTTTGTGGCCTCATCCTCATTCTCATAATCATCTTCATTATCATGTTATTCTCTTCGTAATTCTGCACCACTGGCTTTATCCCAAATTTTACTAATGATTTTACTACAAACTTCCAGATGAATTTTGCAACAAACTCTACAAGACACAATTTTTGAGCAAAATACTATCAATGTTCTTATTTGAAATTAGAGATGCCAATTTCGACTCGTCACAACTTCACTTTCATTCACATAGCCAAACGGCTTCACTCTTATCTTATTACTTTATCCAACTTTATTTGCTAACTGCTTTACATTAGATTTGACAGAAAATACAATCAGAAATATGATTACAACTACAAGGGATATACAACACAACGTAGAACTATCTCTTAGCAGTGAACTGGGGCAAAATTTGCTGAAGAGGAATATCAAACTCAAAAGCAAGTCAAGGATCTACTCTCTCACTTTACTCCGCCTACGTCCTATAAACACGAGATATGTAGGTGATCTAAATAATTCTAAATTTTTCATCGTATCCACCACTATATTTTCTCAATCAGTTGCTTTTATAACCCCTTCATTCCTCAAATATCTAGTGTCATCATAACTCCACACTGGGGAAGATTTTGAAAATCAAGTGGTTCATTCAATCATAGGGTGTCATGGAACTTTGTCTAGTAGGGTCCTACTTATAGGTATGCTGTCGACCATATTTTATAATTAGGAGACTACAAGCATTTTCCACTCTCAAACAAGTATTTTCCACTCTTAAACAATCTTTTCCAAGATAACTCTCGAACTACATATGGCCTGATTCTCATGAAACCCGAGGTATGTAGGCAACTCGGAATCGGGGTGCGGCCACAAATTCCCAAAACATCACTTTATCCATAATTTTTCCATAACCTCCTTCTACGCGTAATCTTCCCAACATCCTTATTAGTTCAATCAAACCGTACCTGGTGATCGGAACAAAATTGGCGAATATGTCAATTTCTTTGCCCGAAAACTCTTATATCGTCTTCAGTCAAAGAGGGGCAGCTGTTGACATCCAATTTTGTCCCTCCTTTCTTCCAGTTAATTTCTTGAGCTTCTAAGTTATTAGTACATCAAATACTTTATTTTTCAGTATTATTTTTCATCTACTATTATTATTATTATTATTATTATTATTATCATCATCATCATTACTACTACTATTACTACTAGTATTATTTCTATTACTACTACTACTACGACAATTCTTAATATTATTGCTACTACTATATTATCACTATTATAGTCATTATTAGTATTTTTATTATTATTATTGTTGTTGTTGTTGTTGTTGTTGTTATAACTATTAGTATTATTATTATTGTTGCTATTATTATTATTGTTTACCTAGTAGTATTTCATAATGTGTTTGAAAAATAATATATGTGATCCAATTTAAAGGCCCAAAGAAAATAATTGAAAGAAGTAAATAGGCCATGAAATACAAGCCCAAACCCGTTTAGCCATTTCTTAGCCCAAAAAATAAAGAAATCCTAAATCAGCTAGGGTATCTATTTTTTACTCCATCATCACATTGCTCCCACAGTTTCACCCGTTCTATTACCCCTTTGCTCATTCAAGCAAAAGCTTCAGTAGTCTTAAACATGGCAGAAGCTTGCCTCGCCGATTTTGAGTAAGTTCATTGTCTCTCTTCAAATCTCATGACTTCTCTTTCTCTTTCTCTCTCTCGTCCGCAACAAGATTTAGTCAATACAAGAGGCCAAAATACTTTTGAAATTTCTGACCTTTGTCCGGAGATAATTGCTGGTGTAAAGATTTTCTCTTTGATTTCAAACGGCTCTTTTTTAAATTCAAACGGCTAATCTGCTCTTCATATCCCACCCGAGAATCACTTCTCAAGGGGCCCTAACCTTTCTCTATAAATACTCTCTTTGGATCTCAGCCGAAAGCAGAGGTGGAAGGGAACAAGAAATAACACTTTACATTATCAAAAATACTGTCTAGGACCGGAGCGGCTGCTCGAACACTACTGCAAATACTACTGTTTTTCTTACTCTTTGCACTCTTCTCATCCCTTAGAACTCTCAGAAAGAACTTTCAAACTTTTATTTACTGTCTCGGTGTACTTTATCCGCGATAGAGGTGTTCGAACCCATTTGACTCGAGGTTCGGATCTGTTCATGACGAGAGAATAGATTCGAGGTCGAGGCTCCCGTACACTGCCCTACAAGAGGTAAAATCTGACCTTTATCTGGCTTTTTCTCTTCCGTTTAGAAACTTTGTGTCTGCTTAGAAATTATGGTAAAAGGGCGTGTATAGTCAGATTTAACGGTGTTATTATTTATTGTTTGGATCTCCAAAAGTCATAATATTTGAAATTGTTAGTAACCGTGTTCATGATTGTGAGCTAAGCATAAATAAATGTAGTAGAAATCATGTTTAGGCATTCTTTTAATCGTGTGAAGATTTGTGGCAAATTTTGATAGTTGTTGTGGTTTAAAAATTCATCTTTAGTTTCCCTTTTAAGTCAAAATCATGAACAACTTATTTGTGAACTAACATATCTTGAGATGTCTTATTTGTGATAATTACTTTAACCTCTAGAATACATGATTTAGGATTTTTACTGTTTGTGAAACAGAAACCATGATGATAAGATTAATTTCATAGTAGAAGTCACGTCTCTGATTATTTATATCCTTGGTTAATATGAGTAATATTTTAAGGAAGCATGATATGTGCCCTTTGGCTCAAACGCCAGATAAATGAACCTGACCTGCTAAATTTATGTTTAAGCCTTGCACATAAAGCTATTTAAAAGTATTCTATATTTTCTGTTTGCATTGAGGAACACTGTAGAACCAAGGTAAGATTCTGCTATGACTAATAAACTAAGAAATCCCTTTGATTCATCTACACATGATGTAATTTGTGCATGGTTCTTACGATGGCATATCCATTCGTATATGTTTCAGAAATACTAGCTTTAACAAACTCCGTGCTTGACTGAGCGTGTCTGATATTAACTGAAAATATTCCAACTCACTGTTCGCTTTCAGTTTAAGGCCAACATGATTTTACTTAGTTTATTTCATCTTCAATAGGAAGCAAGATTAATAAGATTTCTTCCTAACTTCCTCTTTCCTTTTCTTTTCCTTGTTTACATGACATGACGGAGCTGCTCCCGAGTTCCATTTTGAGACTCCATGTCGCTGTCTAGAACCAGTGTTTGCATTATCATCACTCAGCTCTCTCTCCGAAATAAATCCGAACAGCAAAAAATGGATTTTAAAGGCGCTGAAACAGGAATTGCAAAAGTTGTTATCCTTTTGTTAGGAGCTAAATGGGGCTGTCTACCATATTATTATTTTTTTTTCTCCCTCTTATTACTGCTTACTTGAATGATGGCTAACATTTTACTGTGTGATTATCTTTTAACTTTAGTTGTGTGATTGACATTAAAACCAAATATTAGTACATGATTAGTAACTATGCTCCCATTTGATCACATAGGATCTTCACCTCTAGTTAACAATGTATTACTGACTCTAAAGATCTGTCTATGGTTTAGTTAAAATTTCCCATGTTAGATCTCTTGCGCGGTTTAATTCTTTAAAAGTCGTTCTTGGGCCAATAACGAATATCGTTTTATTTGTCTTTGACTAACTGTTTTCCTTTTTGTTTGACGTAAGTCGAAGATGACCTTCTACTACAGAAAGAGGATTTTGTAAATTAATTGTACTTTCTTCAAGCCTAACATTGATCTTTGTATTTGAACTTTAGTCCAATTTTTAGGACATCGTCTCTTTTCAAAATTTAAGCCCTTTAGACTCTAAAAAGGAAAAGCAGATTTCATGTTACAATACTTTAGTGACGAATTCTTTTGAAGTCATGTTTATGTTACTTCGGACTAAAACTATTTTACACTTAGCCTTAATTATTCTAAGTCCGGTCGGTTAACCATTTTTAAAATGGATGTTAAAGGGTGCCTTAAAAATCTTCCCTTTAGATTCACCCTTACCTAGAATCTTTAGGTTAAGTAGACCATTAACAGAGTTATACTTTAAATTACTTTAACCAATATTAGGTGTCCTAATTCTCCATAATTAATTAGGTGGCGACTCTTTAACTTTAATCAAACTCGGAATCGCCTATATGTTATGCCCTACTTTAACCAGTTTAAAATGGGGTATAACAGCAGGACACTAATAAAGCACTGCAGTCAGGGGGTATATCTAAGAAGAAGGACGTGGGAGTAGCAATGGTCGCCCAAGGACCCAAAACCCCATTCGTATACCGAACCTCCCCACTTGCATATCAAGCACCTCCATCCACATATCAAGCACCTCCCCACTTGCATATCAAGCACCTATCAACCGTCACCTCCACCTACATATCAACCCTCGTCCCCAAGATATTCCCAACCAGCCACTGCGTATCACACCTATAATTCCCAACCATCTCATTTTCAGTCACCTCCATCTCGTCAAAATTACCCAAGACCGCGGCCTAATTTTGACTGCAGACCACCCAAACAATACACTGCCATTGCTGAACCCATCGACCTGCTATATGAAAGGTTGAAAGCTGCTGGTTACGTCTCTCCCATCCCTGTTGTGGCCACGGAGAACTCATCCCAATGGGTTAACCCAAATAAGACTTGTGCGTACCATTCCGGTATGAAAGGGCATACCATTTGACGAATGCCGCACGTTGAAGGAAAAAATCCATGCTTCGATTGACAACAAGATCATCCAGGCAAAGGAGGTCGCGCCTAATGTCCGCAATAACCCCCTCCCAGATCACAAGGGTAAAGGTGTCAATGTGATAGAGATGGATGAAGAATGGGAGTCGGAGGGATCAATCGGACTTATCAAAGAGGGAGACGACCCCAAGAAACCCGCAGTCACACTCAATCCCATTATAGTGCAGGTACAGCCGCCAGTGGAGGTCGAGGTAACAACATCAGTCCCATTTGAAGTTGAGGTAGCACCCCCTACAGTTGTACCTATTCCATTTGAGGTGAAAGTAGCCACACCATTTAAAGTGACAGTATCAACAATACCGCCTTTCAGCACCGAGGCTGTACCATGGGATTATGTGGCCGAAGCTAGAAGAAAAGGAAAAACCAAAATGGGGGAATCTGGTGTTGCACAAGGGATGACTAGGACTGGAAGGGTCTATACACCCGAGCATTTGGGAGAGTCCAGTAAACAGGCCTCTAACAGACCTCCCGTTATTGAAACAGGTCCAGATGACCTCAGGAGGAAAGTACAAGCAAGGGAGTATTCAGTCATCGATCATCTGAACAAGACTCCCGCTCAAATATATATCCTGTCGCTGCTACAGAATTCAGAAGTACACAGGAACGCTCTGATGAAAGTATTGAACGAAGCATATGTGCCCAATAACATCACAAGCGGAGAGATGGCTAACATGGTGGGACAAGTATTGGAAAGTCACAAAATCACTTTCCATGAGGATGAGTTGCTGCCTTAGGGTTTGAATCACAATAGGGCGCTGCATATCACAGTGCAATGCGAAGACTACTTCATTACCAGGGTCCTGATTAATGGAGGATCCAGTCTCAATATTTGCCCATTAACAACGCTGAAGAGGTTAGGCAAAGGCCTATACGAGATACAAGAAGGGACCATGAATGTAAAGGCATTTGATGGGTCTCAGAGGGCAACCATCGGGGAAATTAATCTCTGTCTGCAAATGGGGCCTACGTGGTTTGATGTCGAGTTTCAGGTGCTGGACATATCTGCATCCTACAATCTGCTGTTAGGACGACCATGGATATACACCGCTGGGGCCGTGGCATCAACTTTGCATCAGGCAGTAAAGTTTGAGTGGAACCATCAAGAGGTGATTATCCATGGAGACGGGAGCAACCCCATTTACACCCGTCAGACTATTCCCATGGTCGAGAATAGGAGAAAACTAGGCGGAGAAACTTATCATCACATCGAGCGGGTCAATGCAATCGACAAAGATAAGTGGTGGTATGGCAAGATAGAAAGCATGATGAACTGGGGAGGGTATGAGCCTGGCAAGGGTCTTGGTAAAAATCTTCAAGGCATCACCAAGCCAATACAGCCAAAGTACCATGGTACCACTTTTGGGCTGGGATATCAATACACCTGGCAAGAATACAATGACTAGTCACCACCATGGCGAGGTTCGTACTATCCATTGGAGCAACCTATACCGCATTTGAGTCAGACTTTCCAACAGGCCGGCATCATATGGGGATCAGAGGAGGAAGAAGCACTGGCAGCCTTAAAGAACCTGTTCTTGGAAGATGAGGACATGGACTGTTGTGTAATTGTTAAGGAGGAGGAGGAGGAGGAGGAGGAAGGCCCGACCATCCGAGCTGTGGAGAGAGGATCATTCCTCAAGAATTGGACTGTCAGACCATTCAGGGCCCGACGAGTCCCGGGGTAGCAAGGTTGAACAGTATTGTTTCGTTTATTTTCTAAGAAAATGATTTCCCTTTTGGCATTTTGTTTTAAATAATATTTCCAATATTTCAAAAACGTTGTTAAAAATCGCTTTTATGTCTCAATGAATCAATATTTATTATTACCATTTTTCTCTCATATCTTTATCTATACAACATTACTATTTCCTGTCTCGATGAACCAACAACTGTGACATGTAATGAGACAACACAACAAAAGGATAGTGATTCGGAAGAAGAAGATATCATACCCGAGGAAATTGTCAAAGAAGTAAAAGACTTTGAGAACAAGCCTAAGTCCAATCTGGACGAAACAGAAATAATCAACTTGGGAGACTCCGAAACTGTCAAGGAAACCCGTATCAGCATCCACCTGTCGCCATCAGAAAAAGAAGAGTACACACAGTTCTTGAAAGAGTATGAGGACATCTTTGCATGGTCATACGATGATATGACCGGGTTAAGTACATCCATTGTGGCTCACAAGTTGCCCACAAACCCAGCATGTCCACCGGTAAAACAGAAACTCAGGAAGTTCAAGCCTGACATGAGTCTGAAAATCAAGGAGGAGGTTACTAAGCAAATCAAGGCCAAGGTCCTCAGGGTGGTTGAATACCTAACTTGGCTAGCCAATATCGTGCCAATTCCAAAGAAGGATGGGAAGGTTAGGGTCTGCGTTGATTATCCGGATCTCAACAGGGCCAGCCCAAAGGATGATTCCCGCTTCCAAACATACATATCCTAATCGACAATTGTGTCAAGCATGAACTCCAGTCGTTTGTGGATTGTTTAGCTGGTTACCATTAGATCTGGATGGACGAAGAGGACGCTGAGAAAACGGATTTCATTACACCATGGGGAGTATACTGTTGTAAGATGATGCCATTCGGTCTAAAGAATGTTGGGGCCACCTACATGAGGGCTATGACTACCATTTTTCATGACATGATACATAAGGAGATCGAGGTATATGTGGACGACATCATCATCAAATCCAAGAAAGCCACAGATCATATAACCGATTTGAGGAAGTTTTTCGACAGACTGCAGAAATACAACCTGAAACTAAATCCCGCAAAATGTGCATTCGGGGTTCCGGCCGGAAAGTTACTTGGGTTCATCGTCAGCCGCCGAGGGATAGAATTGGATCCGCCAAAAGTCAAAGCCATCCAGGAGCTGCCACCGCCAAGAGTAAGAAAGATGTAATAAGTTTTCTAGGACGGCTAAACTACATTAGCCGGTTCATAGCCCGGTCCACAGTTATATGTGAGCCGATTTTCAAGATGTTGAAAAAAGATGCTGCAACTAGTTGGACCGATGATTGTCAAAAGGCTTTTGACAAGATCAAAAAGTACTTATCAGCACCACCAGTCTTGGTCCCGCCGGAGCCAGGTAGACCCTTGCTACTCTACCTTGCGGTGCTAGATGGAGCCTTCAGCTGCGTTCTGGGGCAGCACAACGAGACAGGAGAAAGGAACAAACTATCTATTACCTGAGTAAGAAGTTCACTCAATATGAAGCGCGGTATTCTCTATTGGAATGTACCTGCTGCGCTCTGACTTGGATAGCTCAAAAGCTGAGGCATTACTTCTGTGCCTACACAACATACCTCATATCAAGGATAAATCCCTTGAAATATATCTTCCAGAAACCCATGCCCACTGGCAAGCTGGCTAAGTGGCAAATCCTATTGAGCGAGTTTGACATTGTTTATGTGACTCAGAAAGCAGTCAAGGGGGCGCGACAGCATGGCGACTCTGCTGGGGACAGGCATTGGCAAATCATCTTGCTGAGAACCATGTGGAAGGAGAATACGAACCCCTGAAAACGTATTTCCCGATGAAGAGGTGCTATTTATAGGAGAAGATATTGCTGAGTCCTACGACGGTTGGAGAATGTTCTTTGACGGAGCGGCCAATTTTAAGGGAGTCGGCATTGGAGCCGTTTTAGTATTGAAAACTGGTCAACATTATCTGGTATCTGCTAAACTCAGATTTCCCTGCACCAACAACATGGCAGAGTATGAAGCCTGCATACTAGGGCTCAACATGGCCATCAACATGAATATTCAGGAGCTGCTGGTAATCGGTGATTCAGATTTTCTTGTGCACCAGGTAC